TCCAGTTACATTTTCTGCAGAGTCCAGTGTCTGCTTTGGAGTTCTGTTCAACAATGTGATGTCTTCGTCACCATCTCCTTGTTCTCCGTGTGAGGGGATGCTTCCCCCCGACTTTCGGATGGACTTCCTGAGAGTTGAGGGCTCTTCATCTAGGTCCACTTTCTGGGGAGAGGTCTTGAGTTGTATGTTCATCCTGGTTGGCATGCCAACTAGTTCTGGCTTTAAAGATTTCTGGCACTTTTCTGCAGTTTTGTTTCCCACATCCATTGTTTCCTGGGCTTGAGTGGGGGCCTGGGGGAGACCTTGGATGCCTCCTAGGTCTTCCTTGGGTTCTGTGTCCTGCTGTCTCTTGAGGGTGGTCAGGTCTGCTATTGGTTCCCATTTTTGCTCTGAATATCTTCTCGATCTCCTCACAGCTACCATGTTTTCAGAACTGTCTTCTGATTTGATAGCTTTCTCACACGCTTCAAAACAGCTCTCCTGTTCCTCCGTCGCTCCCTCAGGTTTCTGTCCTCGCTGTGGAGTTTTCCTCAGATGTCGCCCTGAAGTGTTCTCAGCAGGGTCTGTGTTTGCTTCTTTGTCCCTGTGCCCTGGACCTGGCATCTGTGTATTTCTGAGCTCTGAGGACCTTCGGAACCTGTTTGCACTTAATGCCTCCTTCAGAGGCTCTGCTTCCGATCCTCGAGTTTTCTCGATGTTTGTGTTTACTCTAATAGCCGGTCGTCTGAGGGCAGGGCTGGCAGGCATCCTTTGATCGGATGGCTCCTGTGGAGCATTCTGAGTCATGGGGAATACATTCTCTCCTACAGGAAACAAAAACACACATGAGAGATAGATTCTCTTCCCTGTGTTGTGCCAATTTGGTATTTTACCTTTATGAAATACTGCGGAAGAGTCAATAATTCAGCCCCCTAACCAGCCAGCTAAGCTTATGAAGCTGGCTACTTACGTGGCCATACATCTTTCTTAAGTATGAACCACGCACACTTAGGAATAATGTTATCTGGTGACAGACGGTGGGGTCATACTGAGGTGGTGGTTCTGATCTACAGGGATCAGATAAACGAAAAAAAAAATTCCTTAAGAACGGTCTCCTGAAGGCCGCCGCACTGTGTCTCAGGCACCTGAACACGGACATTTTCTTCAAGCACAAGAAGCAAACAGCTATTTCTGCTGTTGAACCATCCACACCATAACATGGCTTATGCTCAGTATGCGTGGGGTCCATACCGCACAGGAAACACGTGCTGTTCAGCATAGGGGACACTGTGAGTGAAAACTGTTCCCTCTAGGACAGGCAGTGGGTAACCAGTACTCAGTGAGAGAGCAAGACAGACTCATTTCTCCCATCTGGGGCTCATGCCGCGGCCCAGGCCATCCAGAACGTCAGCAGCGACAATCGCACAGTGCGCACATTATCTTTCTCTTTGGTTAATTACAGTTATTTTGAGTTTGAGAAATTTACCTAACTACGATGAGAGATCATGCCACTTCTCTGCTGGTCAACCTCTTTAAATGAAAAAGGCAGACGTGTACACAGGTAGTTTGCAATTATTAAGCTACTGTATTAAAATTATTAATACAATTATTAATTACAATTATTAAAAATGTTATTATTACAATTATTCCTTGTTATGCCACTTGCTAAATACCAATGTTAGTTCAACTGCTAAAAGGAATTTCCTCTAAACATGACAGAACAGAGAAGCTGCAAATGGTATTTTTTCGGGAGCATCTATTGTAGAGAAATAATACAGCATCTGTTTAAAAAATAATAATACCAATTACAATAACTACTGAATAAAACATCAGAGTGCAGGAAAAAAACAAAACAGTAAACCAACCAAAAGTTTCTGAAGTGCACAGCAGAGGTTTTTCTCCTGAATTAGGTACTTGAAACTTTTTTCCGAGGAAATCCTCTGAATTTGAAAAAGCGTTGGGACATGGGCTCATTATTTGTGGCTTCACTTTCGCCGGAGTCTTGAACATTTCAGTTAGCCCTGTGATGTGAGAATATTGGAAAAGCAATCAGCATATTGCCCCTATGTGCCAACAGGCATGCCAGTCCTCAGATACAGCAGCGGAAGTGGCAGAGAGAGAACAAGGAATCCCTCCCCAGAATTCTTGGGAGACAGGGTCATGTATTAATAATGAACTCATTTTGTTGAAGAGCAATGAGAAGCTAGAATTGTATCTCTTCTTTGCCTTTCCTCTTGGTGAGAAAATCTAAGGAAGGCAGTTGACATCTCAGTCTTGGACCATTGCCCTGATCCTGAACTCTGGCCGGGAGAGAGACTGGCGTCCCCCTGCTTCCCCTCCAGACATCCGGAAACCCAGTGACCTCATGCTTCCTTGAAAAATCCTAACTTATGTAGACCCGGGTTTTATGTACAAATAAAACATGCCCAATTTTTAAAAAATGACATCCACGGGGCTGCCCATTAATAGTATTGTCAAGTGATAATATCACTATGCTTTCATTTTAACACCAAAAAGTAATATTGACACAATAGAAGAAAAGAAGCATACAGTTCTTTAGATGGAAGATTTATCTTTCTGAAACACTCACTCACATTTCCTCTTTTCTCATTCTGCCATCAATGGATCAAAATGCTCTGTCTGGCATCTGTTTGCAAGGCCTGTTTTGAGGGCCCTCAAATCAGCCCGTTCACTTAAAAATCTCATCCCTCTGCCCGTGTTCAGGCCTTCCTTAAAATACCCAGGATCCAGTTTTCTGCACAGATTGATGTTTTGTCATGAAAGTTACTCACACCAAGGGGTGGAAGTCGTTTGACTTCCACTGTCCTGGTCCTGGGTACTGAGTATATAAATTTCTATTAATTTTAGCTTAAAAATATTTTTGAGAATTGGTTTTTAATGCTTCATAACATCGCTGTTAGTTACACTCATACCTAATTTACAAGGATACACGTATGTGCATATGTCTGCCTATCAGGTGGCATATACTCGAAACTTTTTTCTCATTGAGCATGCTATCAAAACTGGCTACAAAGGTTCTGCATTTTTGTGGTTTGTTTTTTTAAAAAGCTGAATGTATTGGTCCAACTATGACTGTAATCACAGGGTACCTTATTTGGGTTCTACAGAGCAATACAACTATTGCATCTTAAAATATGCCAGGAAATAAGAACAAGAATCCATCTAATGGGAGATGGAATCAAGTCTCAGCTCCCTCCAGAAATGCTCGAGGCAGAAACCAGTGGTCAAACTGCGTGGCATGAAATCCCAACCCTGGGCTCTTGCCTTGGTTCTAACCTAGAACAACCACAAGGAAGTCACATCCCACTTTTGCCGAGAATGGACACACTGGCTCAGCTACTGATGCTTGAGGGAAACCTTTCAGGCCTTTGTTTTAAGACACAGTTAAGTTTCATGCAAGCGAAGAAAAGCATGAAGCAGCGAAATATTGCTCAAACCAATGGCTCTAACTTTGCAGCCATCAATGAGGAGCGATGCAGGGAAAGGGCAACTTTAAGGGCAAGCCTGCTCCCTTCAGCATAAAGAAGCTTCCAGTTCTCCATACCAGTACTGCAATCCAAGGTAAAGTTGTACATTTTCCATTCCTACCTGCTTCGTGCAGGACTCATGATCCCCCTTATTATCGGGGACCTGTTCTTGGTCTCCAATCCAGCCTTCTCTTCCTTGAACCGTCACCGCCCCAGGAAGTCGACTAAAATGTTTATCCTCCCAAAACTCATTCACAGTAGATACAACTATAGGACCCCCATCCACATCCTCCCACGAAGAAGGATCAGAGGACTATCGTTTATAAGACCCAAGCTAGGTTTTTACCTGAAAGATCTTCATTAAAGTCCATTTTTTTGTTGAATACAAAGCTGTTGAGCATTCTGTAGGGCCGAGCGGGCACGTTTACTTTCTCAATGTGAGCTTTCCCTATTATTATGGTACAAGGAGAATTGGCATGGCCTGTGCTAAATTGATTGTGAACATCGCTAACAGCCTTCTGGAAAAAAATATAACAAGATGAACAAAATGTCAAAGCATAAATGCACAGTCCACGGAATCATACAGAAGAGAATGGGCTCAAAGGGCAACTCCTACCTTTGGAGTATTCATTCTCCTCTGCCTTTTGCTCAGCTGCCTTTGGGGGCCATGTTTAACCACTCTAGCTTGTGTTTGTTTGGCTCCGAGTTTTACGACATCTGCCCACGATTTTGCCACTGTCAGAAGGAGAAAGTGTTGAAATGTTTCCAAACTCGTATTCGTGAGAAAATGAACCTGACGACATTATCTGCCAACACAACACTCACCGATTAAATTGGCTTCAGAAGCACCACTCCTTCTTTTGGAAAAAATCCTCTGCAAGATCTCATGTTGGCTTCGATCGATGGAAGTTCTCTTTGAAGGCAAGGTACCGCTCTTCCTCCCTCCCCTCTTGGGAATGTCTGTATGATGAGATTTGCTGCCACTGGAGACCGAGGACACCTTGCATGACCTGCGGCGGGCGTCATTTGCAACTGGAGAAGTTTGCGTCGGATTCTGAGCTGGAGATCCTTTACACTGGTCTTGTGCAGTCACTTCCAAACAGATTTCCGAAGAATCTTCTTTTCTTGATGGTTGAGGGTATTCCTGATGAGATTTAAATATTCATAAGAAACCTTACCACAAATATAACATCTCTGTAGTGAATGTGAAAACCCTACCCAATTAAGAATTGTTTTTTCAGAGATTTTATTTATTTACTTGCCAGAGAGAGAGAGCACACAAGCAGGGGGAGCAGCAGAGGGAGAGGGAGAAGCAGGCTCCCTGCTGAGCAGGAAGCCTGACAAGGGGGCTCAATCCCAGGACCTTGGGATCATGACCTGAACCGAACGAAGGCAGATGCTTAACCACCTGAGCCACCCAAGTGTCCCCCCATTAAGGAGTTTAGCTGTTTAAATCTTGAAGCACCAAACATTTCAACCACTGTCTGTCAAGTATCAGGTAGAAATAGGAGTCGGTCCCCCTCATTTAAGAAATAAAAAGGATGGGGAAAAAAAACAGTGAACAAGTGTTAATTGGGGTATTTTGGGTAGAAAGGCAGAAGGAACCTCCCAAGGAGTGACGAGTGAGCGTGCTCTGATCTGAATTGGAGAAAAACACCATCTGTAGGTGTCTAATCCAGCTTCGGTCTACACAGAAAGGGGGCTGCTCATTTCTGGGAGCCCATATAAAATGGAAAAGGAGCCAGGCATACCTTACACTCCTTTAGGTTTGAAAAGAAATTAAAGACTGCCCAGGCCCTCTGACGAGGATGAGCCGTGAGGCCCTACCTTTCTAGAGACCGCAAATCAGGGGGACAACAGAGCCTAGCGTAGGTGATTAAAAGTTCTAAATAGCTGATGGTCAAAATCATGGGTGTGTTGCCACTCAAGATTTTCCTTTTCACCTTATAATTCTTAAAAGAAAAAAAAAATGCCTTATGGTTATGTGTCATGATGTCTCCAGATTCTTTGTAATTGCTTCTGTGTCTTTTTTAAAGATTTTGTTTATTTATTTTGAGAATGACAGAGCCAGAGAGCACACAAGTGGGTGGAGGGCCAGAGGGAGAGGGAGAATCTCCAGCAGACGGCCCAGTTGAGCACGGAGCCGGACTCGGAGCTCGATCTCACGACCCTGAGATGGTAACCTGAGCCGAAATCAGGAGTCAGACGCTTAACCGACAGAGCCACCCAGGTGTCCCTTTAATTGCTAGTCTTTACTGAACCCCGCAGGGATCTCCTGTGAGTCTGGCTGGCAGGGCGGCCCTGTAGGGGGCGGCCCTGAGGACTCGCCTGTCCTCAGCCCCTTAGAATCATGCTTCGAAGCCCCGTGAAGGAGCTCTCCTTTAGATTTTTTAATTTTTACTATTTTATTAGAAAGAGAAAGGTCTTCATAGTAATTGTGCTGGTGTGGGGAGTTTGAAAGGGTATGATGATACGGGCTGCCCAACATACCTTGATGATTTTCTTCAGGACAGGTGGGGTGGGGCTGGCGAGGGAACTTCTCGGTGTTTCTCCTCTCTTAAGAGGTGTATTAGGAGGTAAGTTCTCATCAAATAACTCCGGCTTCAGACAGCCACCAAAGGAGACCCGCCTCCTTTTTAGGGGTGTTCCCTCAATCTTATCTAAAATAAGGAATACAAATGTGGAGAGAGAATGAAAGACGTACGCTTATATAGACTCGTTACACTCGTGAAGACTGTTAAAGACAAACCACTGGTACAGTCCACTGAAAGCTAACATCATGGCACTTCGTCCCTTTGTCATGCTGAGGGCGCTGGAGCTGCTTCAAGGGCTCAGGAAGGATCCAGGGACAAACCAACAAAACAATGTCAAGTCCCAACTGGACAGGACAAAGATTTTCTACAAAAGGGTGAAAAATCCTGCGTGGACAGAGCCTGATAAAGGGATTGGTCTGGACCGGCGGCTTCCACATGGGAGCAGGGCAATGACGGAGATGGAAGTCTCTGCAGTGACCCGGGAGGGCCTTTTCAAAAGCCACCTGTGAACTCGGGCCTCATCCAGACCTACCTAGTGAGAAGTCACGAACTTGACAACTTCTCCAGGTAGTTCGAATCGGCAATTCATGAGTCCCAAGTCACATCCTTGTGAACCAGCACGCCACAGAAATCCCTCGTCTAAGTGGTGCCCCTTTCGGAGACTCATAGCGCCATTGTGAGGGATGCGTGCGGGTCTCATTTCAGAGAGCCGCGCACCTTGGCCAAGGGCCCCTCTGCAGATCAGAGCCCGGACAGTGAGCCTGCTGCTTTAGAACATCTGCAGAGCCCCAAGAACTGCGGGCGGATGCCCGGGAGGTGCCACGCCTCCTCCAGAGGTCACCGCTCTGCCCCTCGCTGTGTCACGTGAGGCCATCAGCTTCCCTATTTGCAAGAGGGAAATCACGGGAATGCTTGTCCCCTGGGGACTCCCGCTGCCTGCTCAAAGGGTTAGTAAAAGTGTGAATGTCTGAAAAACACCTACAACAGCACCTGATGCATAAACCCCTGGGTTAGTCCAGTGTTTTATAAAGAAAAAAAAACAAAAAAACTGCTAGTAGGAGACCCTGAGAAGAGTAAAAATCCCCGAGAGACGCCCTCTAATATTTAAACATTTCCAAGGGATTGATTTCCCTGGACTTCATTTACGGGAGCAAACTCATGGGCTACAGGGGCTTATGGGTCAGAATGAAAACTTGTGTGAAAAGCCATTATGCTTATTGGGCGTATCTTCCCTCCTATTTTCTCATAGGGGTAACAGGAGACTCCACCATGGTTTTGGAGCCCCTCAAAATCCCCGGCTCCCAGGGGAACCTCCCTGACCACCTGCGCTTCCTCTGGAGCCCCTGGTTACAAGTCTCCGGAGGACGGGTCTATCAGAGCAGACGGTGCACATGGCTGTGTCATAAGCACACCACCGTGCTTCACAGACCGTCTACACCGGGGCCGTCACTGTTGAGGGAAGGAAGGTCTCATGACTTCACATCTGGAAGTCTGTCTAGATATGCGTGAGCCCTGCGGGGGAAAATAAATGCACAGTTAAGTAAACTTACTAATGGCGTCACCAAAGTTGTTGCTATCAACTGAACTACGACCAGGGAACCCAGAGCTCGAGTGCCCGGTTGTGGTGCCCACTTTCTCAGGCTGGTGCACGGAAATGCTTTGAATCTTCCTTTCAACTTGAACGGACAATGGAGCTAAAACAGCGTGACTCTGGGTTTCCAGTTCTGTGGTAAGAATGTCCATACTGGTAGGAACACTCCCCCGCTTTTTGGAGAAGCATTTTTCTGGTGTAGCTCCAAAATTATCATCATTTTCGACTCTAGTAGGTGTCTGATTCCTGGTTAAGAACTTCCGGGGAGGAAATGTTTTGTTATCTGTCCCGAAGCCTTCCCTTTGATCCAGATTCACGGACTCACTTCCGCTGGGAACACGCATGTCTTCGCTCCGACGTTTCCGTGGGGCATTGTGTGGGGAATGTTGGACCATGGTCCTGGTTCCTGTCATCTCCTTAGGAGGGACGCTGGGACCCATGGTCTCCTTGGGAGTCTGAAGAGCCTCCTCATCCTTTCTCCGGCCCTCAGTCTGGCTAGCTCCTTGTTCTCCCAAAGCAGGGTCGGCCTTCACTGGGGCGAATCGACCCGACCTGGGCCTGGATTTCACTGAGACCAGGACTTGCGTCCCGTCTTGTAACCCACCCGAACATTCGTTCTCTGATGCACGATGACTCGGTGACCCTGATTTTTTACCGCTCTGTAGAACATTTCCTTTTTCTGATTTCACATCAAACTCTTCTTTCATGGACTCGTAAAGCTTCCTAAAGGGAGACTCATGGTTTTCACTGTCCTCAGGATGCCAGGTAGAGGGGAAAGACTTCAGTTCTCCGTGACAACTCACTAAGGGTACGCTGGAACCTCCCTTAAAGTCCCCGGCTGTAGGATCCATTGCATTTCTGTAGTTCTCTCTAGGAAGTTCTGAGGAACAAACAGCATTAATTGTTTTTCTAGCAGCGTGATCTTCGGGGCCACCCGAGACTGTGCCGGCTGCTTTGCCATTCCTCACGTGTCCCAGAGGACTTCCCGAGACATTTTCTTCACAGAGTTTTGAACGGGCATTGGAATCTTGAACTTTCCCGTCTTGGCAATGAGTTATGAAATAAGAAACAGAAAGTTCAAGATTTTTTCAGTGATTAACACCGTGCAGTATTCAAATTTTACAACCATTTCAAATTGTCTGGTAATCTAGTTTTTCACTTAGCCTACAAATTATTTAATGCCAAAACGCGTAAGAAAAGTATTCTGATACTTGAATTATGATGCAAACAAATAAATCACAGCAGCCTCCTATAACCAATACGAGGGATCACCTGCTATTAGTCTACTCGATTCAACTGACATCCGTGTTCAGTTCATTGATACTTGGACGCTCCAGTAAGCATGGTGCCCCACGCCTCTCTTGAGGAAATGGTTAACTCGGGGCTCTGCCTATCTCTCGTGTTAAGTAACACAACCTCCTAGCCTTTGTGAGCTCAGACGGAGAACGCTCGAGTTCTCGTTGTCTCTTCCTTGCCCTAGCTACAAAGAGAGCTGATCTTGCAGGATCCCAGAATAAAACCAAAAAATTACTAACCAGGGTCGGAAGTGAAGCCAGATCTTGAGACCCGATGCAGAGATTCCTGTAAATCGGCAAAATAAAGACAGCTATTTAGGTGCTTGTTCAAATATGACCAACAGTCATATTTCTGAAAATATTCTTGCTGTGGATGCTCTTCCTTACCAAACTGTTCTAATAGGAATTTTAGAGACTTTGAGAAATGAGCCAAAGACACTCAGGGGCAAGTGCCCATAATAGTACAAGTATTTCTTAGCTGATTTTAAAAAGTATAATGACAGAATAAGAAGCAAACTTGAAGCTCAAAACTGTTTAAATGGAACCTCAGTTGAGTTTTTCTAACTTCCTCAAACTTCTTTCTCATCACCCTATGAAAGAACCAAAGCTAAAATTAAACATCACCTATGCTCAGCATCTGTGAATTACTGGGCACAGAATTGTTGACTTAATACTTAGTTTTATCAGAAAGAGGCTGCAGGACCTGTGGATGAGCTGGGGCCCCACTCAGCCTGGGTGCTTGGGTCAGCAGGTGCACACGAGCCCGGATGTTCAGGCGAAAGTGAAACCAGCACATCACAGGCATTGTGCCCTCCAAGCGCAGCAGTCAGATCCAGTGCTCCTACCTGGCCCCCAACTGCTGCCTTCACAATCTGTGGACATCTTTAGGAAGGAAAAAATCTTTAGGAAGATTTTTTTAGGGGGTGAGGAACAACCACAGACTAACAGTGATGTAAGGTATAAAAGCTCAATGTTGCTTCAAAGGAGGAAAAGTATCTCATCTGAATTATTATGGGGAAAAAAAGAATCACAAAATATATCCGAAGGCAAATAATTTAACTTCTCTCTTCAATCAGTTTCAGATTTCTTGGTATCCGACACGTTGCTTCTCTAACTCACCAAGTGAGGGATCAGTTTCTAATTTCCAAAACTGGAAGTTGGCCAAGGATCTTATGACTAAACAATAAAAATGAATTAAAATTTAAAACTATGTACAGGGGTGCCCGGGTGGCTCAGTCATTAAGCGTCTGCCTTCGGCTCAGGTCATGATCCCGGGGTCCTGGGATCGAGCCCCGCATCGGGCTCCCTGCTCCACGGGAGGCCTGCTTCTCCCTCCCCCACCCCCCCTGCTTGTGTTCCCTCTCTTGCTGTGTCTCTCTCTGTCAAATAAATAAAATCTTTAAAAAAAAAAAAACTATGTACAACATATAAGCAAGCATATAAGCCCATTTTTTGTACCATTATATTCCACAGGCATAAAAAACACTGTCAAAGTGCTATAACACGTTCTCAGTATTCAGTTTCAATACTGACTTTATCACAATCCAGACAACAAACAGTTTATAGGTCTTCTAACCACTTGTAGCCCAAAGTCCGGCCTTTTGCTTGGTCCCCTAATACCTACCAACAAAGTAGGTAGAGAACCTCAAAATCTAGCTTTCCCCAAAGCCCAATGAGGGGCAAGGTCACCATTAAGGTCATTCCTCTAAGGAGGAAGCAGCACATAGCAGGAGCAGAGATCTTCAGTAGAAGGGCTTCCCGCTAATTTCGGGTATAGGTACAATATGACTTTTTAAACCAGTGAATTACAACCTGGTCACAGGAGACCAGCTTGGGTAGCTTCCTAAAGGAGAGAAATTCTCAGGACACGTCCTACTGCATCTCTAAGGATGGGCCCAGAATTGCATTCCAATAAAGCCATACTGTTTGGATGGACACAAGTAGTAAGATTCTCTCACAAGACACAGTGCAGTAATGCTCTCCCAGGGGCATGGGTTATCTCTCCATCAAAGTTAGGAAGCATCTCTGGGACTCACAGCTCTGATGTGATCATTTCAGACGCATAAAGATGGAAGAACACAGTAACTGGGAGACAACACAAGCCACTGATCTAGTTCCCAGACTTCAAATCTATGTGATGAGCTGTCCTAACCAAAGGTTTAGAATTAGATCAGATCGTGAGATACTCCAGGAGCCTTCGGGCCAGAGTGTAAGACTGACTCAGTCCTCTCATTGTGAAAAGAAAAAAAAAAAAAAGCATAGTTGTAAGTGATTTCAGTGTGTCTAAATTCAACTTGTTTAAGATCTCAGGTTACCTGACCCTCTCTCACTGTCAAGTCACCCTGCCTTGTGAGACGTCATTCATCGACGTGCATATAAATGATTTCATAGTATCATGCAGAAGAATCAGAGGCCACAGTTGGATAATCCACCCCCCCATCACCTGTTTGCGTTTTTGTCCTGTGAATTCCGCTGACTCGCTTCTATTCTGATGACTTTCATTTTCATACCTGAAGTGCACAGAAGGACAGACACACATTCAGATTCCGGCTCTGTAACTGATGGGAAAGCCTCCTTATCTCATTAATGTCCAAGGAGCAAGGAACAAACGTCAAGTTTTATTCAAGAGATTCACCTTATTCATGGAAATAAAGGTAGAGTTAGAAAAGACTTTACACTAAAAACTTGGATAGGTTGCCTCAAATTTCTTTGGCAACACCGTTGTCAGAGGTGGGGACCCAGATTAGTTTCTGAACGCTGATAAGCTGTGTGATTTCAACAATATCTGAGTACCTCTGTAAAAACCTGCATATGAGAGCCGATCAGATTCCCACCGGTTTATATCCGTGGAGATCATCTGAGGGCTTTGGAAGTTCACCCGGGAAGCCGAGGCCTGAGTCACTTGGTGATGTTACCTACTGCAAGGTCACCACAGAGCCACCTGTAACTTAGGATCACTGTGAGCTTCTGTTTCCTGCCTTCCCCATCTGTATCCGAACAAAGACTGGCACATTCTTGAAGATGTAGACAGATTTAACAACATAACACTGTCCTTCTACCAGACCCTGGGCATAATTCACAGAACCACCTGCTATGGGCATCCTGAACTTGGCCTCCGTGAGGTGGCCTGATCCGAAACAGCCGGGTGTCTGGACTTATTTCTCCTGATCGCAGAGTTCACGGTCAAGTTCTTCTTCCTAAGAACCCCTTCCCCATTCTTGTGTTGGAGGTATTTAATTATCTCACTTAATCTCAATCTGAATAGCATCTCATTTGGGGGAAGAAGTTCTGGTCTCCACTCCACATCAAATGCTTCCTACCTAGAAGTCTATTCAACAAGCATACCCTTTAAAAAGGAAGGCAAATTCACAAGCCCAGTGAAAAAGATGACTAATCGAACACATCGGAAATATGTGTTTAATGTGAATGGAGGCAGTAATGAGGTCGGCGTTTTATTGGACAACACGGATGACCAACGTGACCCTACTGTGAGCTGCCTAAAAGAGACACGAGGCACAATCAAAGGCGCCTACAGGATGCACGTGGCAGGATGGGAGAGGACACAAGCCACAGCAACCAGGAGAGAGCTGGAGAGGGCGTACGCTAACATCAGACAAAAGAGATTTCAAGATAAAAATTGCACACAAAGACCAAGCATATTTTATAATGATAAAAGGATTGCTCTACCCAGAAGATAAACCGATTGTAAAGAAAAGGGCACCTAACAGCTGGTTCCAAGAGACAATCTGAGCCTTAAGGATTATGAAAAGTTGAAAGCAATGTGCCAGAAAATATGATAATATGCAATCACTGATTAAAAAAAAAAAGCATTACGAAAGGTACAGCATATCTCAGAAAGATAAGCAAGCGACAGAGCTTCACCCGCCAGGGCAGAATTCTAAATTTCAACACATAGTATAGCCTCAACAGAGAGACAGCAGAAACAGAAGAGCTAACAAAACAGAAAGAAAAAAAGAATCCTCAATGTGATTTCAACCCGCGCACCTGAGTAAGAATCAAGGGCTACGTTACTGGGATTCTAGAGCCAGGGATTTGAATCTAACGGGTGGTCGTGGACAGAAAGCTCCCCACCCCCCTCCACCCCAACGCCGGGAGCCGTAGAACACACATTCTTTTGGAACACACAGGAGAGATTAGTAAAAAAAAAATCAACCACATCTGGTCATAAAGCAAGCCCTCGACTCACTTCAAAACCTGGAAATTTCCCAAACATCCGTCCAGAATGAGTAAATTGTGTATAATTGGGTATATAACTGGGATATTATTTCAATGAAATATTTAGCAGTGAGAAAGAACAAAATGGGACATCCATGCTCTGGCTCTCACAAACATAGGAGCAGGACTCAGCTACAAGCACATACTTCGTTGTTTCAAATTGATGGAGTTTGTTAATAAAGACAGACAAAACCAGAGCAGTTAGAGATGCATGCTTAGGTAGCAAAACTCCAAAGATTTTATGTCCTCAGAAAAGCCACTCGGGTGGTTTACTTGGTGAGGGAAAGAAGCAGTGATTAGGAGAAGTATTCAGAAGGTTCTGGAAATATTCTGTTAACAGCTTGGGTGGTGTATTAGTTTGCTAGGGCGGCCATCCAAAATGCCACGCACAGGTGGCTTCAACACAGAAATGCATTTTCTCACAGTTGTGGAGGCTGGAAGTCCGAGATCAAGGTGTTGGCGGGACAGTTTTCTCCTGAGGCCTCCGTCCTGGGCTGGCCAGGGCCGCCCCTGCTGCCTTCATGTGGCCATCCCTCTGAGCTCCTGCTCCCTTTCTTCTGTGTCTTTATCGCCTCTTCTTACAAGGACACCAGTCAGATTGATCAGGACCCACCCTAATGGCCCCGTTTCAACTCAATCACCTTTTTAAAGACCCTGTCTCCAAATACAGTCATATTCTGGCTTCCCGGGGCTTAAAACTTCACTATATGAATTTTAGAAGGGACACAATTCAGTCCATAACAAATGATGATCACCCAGGTGCTCACGTCAAGATAAGCTGAGCTGGACATCTTGTCTTGTGTCTTTTCCCCAGGAGCGTCTTTTACTTTAAAATGAAACAGAAACTGAAAAATGCATGTGGCTTCACCACACTCACAACAAAAATAAGACCCCGTGAGGCTCTGGTCACGCTTCTGTGGCCCAGCTCCACGCACTCAGATCCTTGAATGTAGTCACACAAGCCCCACGTGTCATCCCTGCTACACCCTCGTGACCTCGGACTGAGAACCAGGGGTGAGAGTGCCCGCCTCAAATGCTCTGACATCGTCCGCAGCACAGAAAAGTCACAGACGTCTGCCAGGCTAGTTTTGGTGCAGGAGTGTGGAGAATGACTAGTTCTTACTTTTCACCCACCTGAAGGAACGATCGACAACAGTGATCACATCTCCATGCGTTAGCCGTACAGGCTCCGTGATAACGGACCCGTTCACTTGTGTCGGATTGGTGGAGCTGAAATTAAACAATACTGCCTACAAAGTAGAAGAAAGGGGAAAGTAGGTAATTGATGAATGGGTAAAAAGTGAAATGAAAAGTTAAAAAATAAAACAAAACACAACACAACAGATTTCAAACACCCACTTACCTCCTGCCCACTGATCTCAATTTTGCAATGCTGTTTTGACACGACAGGGAGCTGGATCCGAATGTCACATTCGATACCCCTTCGATGAAAGAAATTAAGAGTTTTAGGCTGCCACAGTTTTTTCTAGAAATTCCATGAATGCTTCAAAATAAAACAGCATTTGACCAAATGTCTGATCCATAAATGAAACAACAGAAAGTGATCATCAGTTGGGCGATGTGATGACCCGTGCATTTGGCAAACAATTTTGACAAGTATTGTATAAGCGACTATTTTAAACCTTTAAGACTTTGGGTACTTGAAAACAATTATAAAGGAAAATATTAGAATACAAAACTGGATCGTCTTTACTGAAATACCTATGCTTTTAAGACCCAAATAAGGGAGTACTTCCTATCAGTTTGGAGAACTGTAACAATTTCTGATACTCTGTGCCTTTTTTTCTAGAAAGAAAGGTTTATGTGTGTTTGTTTGCAATGTTATGTATGTTTCAAGGTTTCATCATCACTACATGTGCTGTATGTTATACTAACACCTGTCTCTTCACATATAAAAAGACAATCACATCAGCACCTATATCACGGGGTTGTTCAAACAATGAATGAATTATACATTTCTGCCATTTGCCTGGCACATAGTCAATGCTATTTACTCATGAGCTTTTCATTGTTTTAAAACTGCACTGTATTAATGGACGGATTCACAAGTCTATTATTAAAAATACAAATGCGAGCAACAAATAAGCATTATTAGATTCAACTTCACTTTCCACACAAAGAACATCAGCAGGAAGCACCATTAGGGAGAATTTCCAAACCCACGTGCAGACTAACCCAAATGGTCCTCAGTAAGTTTCCTTGGGTCTCTGAGGTTCCCTTTACTGTAAGTTTGAACAGTTACGTACTCTCCTTTCTGTTCTCAATACACTATTCTGGAGCTGGGACTCTCTCTTTCTAGAACGCCTATAAAAGATACAGTGGTATAAAATAATTGCAGAGCTGGAAGTGGACTCCCCAGGGCTGATGGACTTGGATTGTGAGTGTCAGTGTGCGCTCAGTTTCTTGTCCCTGCATAGTTGTACGGTGTCCTTGGCCTTCGTGGAAAAATGGGTTTAGTGGTTTCGGCCTGGTGTGGCAAATAGGTTGTAAAGGACAAAGCAGTACCTCGGTAGCTGTGGATAGAGAGCAGTGCTGGCTGTCTGTCCATATAAAGAGAGAAATGGGCTCAGCCACAGAGGTTTAAAATATCTGCTTGTCCCCTATATTAACACTAACCCCTACGTTAACCCTAACCAGATACACAGTTGTATTTTCTGTTTCACGGTCTCCTAGCCTTTCCAGCCCAGGCACTCTTGGACAAAACTTGCTCCTCGTTTGAGGTTCCGTTGTCGGGTTTCTGTGTTTGTTTTTGTGGGTGTTTGGCTCATTCCATCCGTGACCTTTGCAGGCAGCCAGACGTGATGCGGAACTTGGGTTCTAAGGTGTTTCTGGTAGTGGGGTCATTGGTTGGCAGGAGTAAGTCATGCTTTTTCTCTAAAGGGGGATGAGGGTGGTAATCCACGAGACAAGCTAAGGTGTAGTTGTTAGAAGAATTTTGCGACTGGAAATTTTAGCTTTGAGTTTTGTTGCTCTAGTTCCTAAGATAACTTGGGGAGATGCTGCTCATTTGTCCAGGGCTCCCTCTGACCCCTGGGATCCCACCCATTCTCTCACTTTAAGAAAAAACAAGTAATTGTTGCAGAGCTCTCTGTATTCTGCAGCTGCCCTTTTGTAAGTACTTTTCTCAAATAAAACCATTAAAAAAAAAAAAAAAGAATATCTCTTCCTCCATATGTCACATGACCAAACACTTCTGAATGGGTTCTAAATGATAAAATCCCACATAAAAAGATATTTAATCACTGCTGTAGCATAACGAGAATTACTGACATTTAACACCAAAATGTTTATTCTTTTTCCTTTGAAGAGAAAAGAAGGTATGGGAAGTGAACAGCTACTTTAAACTAAAGAAGAGAATTTGATTTTTAGATAACAGACTATTCCAGAGAGAGAGAGAGGGAGGGAGAAAGAGACTATCTCATTAGATCTGAGAGTTTGTGTGGCTGCAAACTGCTAACTAGAATCCCTACGGATCAGCGGTTCTTAACCTCAGCACCGTTGACATTCTTTACAGTAGGAGCTGTTCTGTACATTGTAGGCTCCTTAGCAGCATCCCTGACCTCTTTCATTTGATGCCGCTGGTTTGAGCCTCCCACACTGTGACATAGAAAAATGTCTCCAGACCTTGCCAGATGTCTCCTGCAGGGCAAAAGAACCATGGCTGAGAACCACTGCTATTTACGACTCCACATTCAACCCATGCATCTGCTAGACACAGAGTGCCAGCTATTGATCAGCTCTCTCTCGCCAGACCCCTACCAGGCGCTGCGTACACCACTGTGAACCAGACAGTCCCTGTCCTTACACAGTTCAGTAGTGCGAGACACAGCCAAGGACTCATCACCCTGCATGGTGTTAGGAAAGTCCAGAGGAGTGTTCACCTAAGGGTTCTCTTTAGGTAACACTTAAACGGATATCTCAAAGTTGGAAAGGAAGCACTCACATAGGAAGATAGAACATTCCAGTCATAAAAGTTGAAGCTGGCCAAAAGCGCCAAGATGAGCAAGAGCTCGGAAAGTCTGAGGTGAGGTAGAACATGGTAAGGATGAGGTGGGTAGGACGGGGGGGGGGGTACGTGGGTAGAAGGCGCTCGGGGGTCCCACCTCACAGGGCTCCACGGAGAGGGTGACTTACCACTTTATAAGAAATCCCATGTTATACACCCGGAGCAGAGTGTGCCTGTGATACTGGGACCATAGTCATTTACCACCAACACAAGCCGGCAAAAAGAAGGAAGTTCTCAAAACACTGGCAGGACTTCTCTTTTCATTTTTCCAAAAAACCAACAAGCCAAATACAGAGCCTCCTCCCCTCATTTGCTCAGTAGTGTCTCCCCACAGCCAAGGCAAGCCAAGTTTGGAGGGATTTCAGATGAACATACTGGTCATCTAAAGAATGCCTGAAGTGAATCAGGTTTTGAGAATAATCTACATTTTTCTCAATTTAAAGATTTTATCAAGTCAACTTTAAAATGTGTTTGATTAAAAAAATACTAAACTGTATAAACATTGTTTTCCAAAATCTATTTCCTAATAAACAACTATGTTACATTGACAATAGGTAGGAAAGTCCCCTGCAAATTTGGGGGCAGGAACCACTCCTAGGGTGTTTCCAGTCTGTTAATCTATGATTAGGATATTATTGTCTTTTAAACTAAATTGTCCACCCCTGTGCAGGGCTCACCTTCCAAACAAGCAGGTGCTGAGGCTCAGTGGAAAGTGGGGGCCGTCCACCCCACTTCTTTTGATGGTAACAAGGCGTCCTGTAGGACCCATTTTCTAAGCAAGATGTTGAGTATAATCCTTATAGGAAGGTCAGTCATCAGAAGGTTTGCTGAAGCAAACTTACTGCAGGAACATGCCACTGAATAAAACAGTAACAAAACACACGAGGTTGGGGGGGGGGGTTTGTTATTCTAAAAGCAAAGAGATTGGAAGTCACTTGTAAGTGACCAAATGGGCTCACATGTACAATTCGCCATGCTCCTGCCACCCTGACCCACACCTTACTTGACCCCTGGGGAGCCCCAGCCAGGTCCCGGCCTGCACCCCAGAGCGCCCCCAATACCCAGTGCCCCCAAAGACCCGCGGCCAGGACGCAGTCCATCAAGGTCTGGGCTCCCGGGAGTTCCCACCGAGACCGCCTCGCCAGAGCCCCGGCCGCGCTGCAGGCGCTGGTTCCGGCAGAGCAGAGGGGTGGGTCCCTAAGGCCTGGGCCCCCAGGTCCACCGGCCGCCCCCGCCCCCCGAGGCCCCCCGACAGTGGCTCACCCAGGACCAGTTGCCCGCACCGCCACCAGTGGGTCCACCGCCCTGCCAGATGCAACCCAAGTCCTCACCGGGAAAAGCCAGAGACTCGCCCACTTGCGTCCACCGCCCGCCCCTCGCTCCAGGGACGGGGACAGCCCGCGGCCACCGCCGCCGCAGTCCTCACTCCCCCCGCCGTCGCCCTCGCCGGCGACCAGTCCAGCCCAGCTGCGTCCGGGAGGTGCCCAGCGTTAGATGCTCCGCGCGTAAAGCCGCCGCCGCGCCCTCCCGATTCAAATGAAAACAACGATTCGAATTTGGCGCTAAGCGCTGCGATTGGACGCGGCGGCGCGACGGCAGCCCAATGGGCAGGGGCGAGGGTGGGGCGGGGGCGGGGCCAGAGGGGAGGGCGCGGGCCCCGCGGGGCCGGGAGTGCGGGCTGGCGGGCGCCCGGTGCACCTGCGGAAGGCAGAGGGTTCTCACCAGGGACAGAGTGAAAAAGGCGGAAATGGAACATGGTGTTACTGCCAGGAAACCTCTCTTGCCTCCTTTTCTTTAAGGACAAACACAACTGCACACAATATGTTACTCATTGCTGGCAGGTTTGAAAAATTTAAAAACTTCCCATATCTTCTCAAAGACAACCAATTATTATGAGCAATTTCTTGTGTCTTTTCCCAGTTATACATGTTATTAGTCCCCTTCAAAAACACAGTAAAAAGATCATAATATGCACATTGTTCTATACCTCCTGTTCTCTGCTTAATTAATTCTGTGGATATTAATATTGAGATTTTATTTATTTATTTGAGAGAGAGAATGAGATAGAGCATGAGAGAGGGGAGGGTCAGAGGGAGAAGCAGACTCACTGCTGAGCAGGGGAGCCCGATGCGGGACTCGATCCCGGGACTCCAGGATCATGACTTGAGCCGAAGGCAGTCGCTTAACCAACTGAGCCACCCAGGCGCCCTGTGGATATTAATATTGAGTACATCTTCCCCTTTTACTTTCTTTTTGATGGCAGCAGAGTATTCGCCTTCAGAAACCATAATTTCCTTAATCACTACTATTGCTATGCATTTAGGTTTACAGCGTTTTCCCATTAGAAAAAAGAACTCCAATTAAAAAAGCTTGTGCAATACAAAATGGATGGCTTCTAAAATAACCACAGGATTCCTTTCTAGAGTCACCTAACCGGTGGGGGGGTGGTGGTGGTGAGGGGGCTCCTGTGGACAAACGTGGTGTGAATTGAATAGAGCCAGAACATGCTGATGTCCAGCCTGCACATCACCCTCTCCCACCCCCAGCTCACTCTACAACCTATGGAGCTTGGCTTTCCTTGGTCAGGAGCTGCCTTTTTCACAGCAGGGACTGGGGACCCCTGAGGATGTCTGAGATCCTTGCAGGGGGTCCATGAGGTCAAAACCATGTTTGTAATAACACCAGACTTCTTTGTCTTTTTTACCCTTGTTTTTTCAGGAGGGTGGAGTTTCCTGAACGCAGAAGCAGACGCGAGAAACCAGCTGTCTTACTATGTCAGGTATTTTGGGTTTGCAAAACCCCAAAATACTACTGTTCGTCTCGGTAATTTAAAAAAAGTAGATGTATTTCATAAAAAATATGTTTTTATGTTAATATGAAATGGGTTCATCATTGCTTTAAAATGAATTGACAAACGAAGTTTGAATGTTTCTGCTCCTGGGTGGTAACTCAGCGATAGAGCACCTTCAGGCATATGGAAAAGCTCCTAGAGATGAAATGTGAATGCATAGGACCTCCAACTCCTAATTGTCTGTGACAAGGCTGATGTAGGTAATTTAAATGTGTGGATGCTATTAACCTTCTTTACGGGGATTAGTTTCCATTTTCTCCCCCTTTACACCAATGCAGAAAGCGCATCTTGGAACAACCCGGTAAAATGCTACTTTTGTCGCTCTAATTACTGCTTGTCATCAGGGACGGCTCTGTGACCTTGCTGGGGCAATTAGAACTGGGAGGTGCTAGACTTCCTGTCCAATAGTCTCACAAACACTCTGCAGTACATAGAGTTGGTTCTCTACAGAGAGCGGGAGTTGCAGAAAGACTTAGGGGGTTGTTGCTGAAGGGGTGGATCTTGGCCTGGGGGACCGCCCTCTTTAAATTGTTGGATATCCTGCTTTAGCAGTGGGGCTTTCCGCTGGGTTCCAAGCTCGGCCCAGGACCTAAGACTTCATTGAAAATACAGACCTCAGTCCTGTGAGAAGAGTCCCATGCCCCTTTTGCAGGTTTGGCGTCTGGACCCCAAGCTCCACTCCCAGCACCATCGGGGTCTCAAATAGAGTGTAGAATGGGGACTGTGTTAAACTAACAGTCACCAAGATGGGCAGGAAACTCCCTGAGGAGTTTTCAGGGAATCAATTTCCGGATCCTGAGAGTCCTCACACTTATGTCCAAATCAATCAGGCCAAGAAAGTGTGTCTAGGGCCCCTGACCCTGGGCCCCTTCTCCCTGGTCCTGCGCCACCCTCTGGCCACTTTCACTTGCCTGAAATTTACTTGGGGAATTGCACCAGGCACCCAATAAGGGACCATTCAACAATCCCCTTAAACTCTGTGCCCATCCACCTGATTAGAGTGTATTTCCAATAAATGGAACATATGTTTGAAAATACTTATCACCTTTGAAACATGTATATTGTTCGGTCATCTGTGTTCCAGTAAATATTATATTCTGTAATCACTGACACCTCGTCCAGTAGGGAAGGTGGCTGGAGGAAGGCGAGGAGCAGGGATGTCCAGGCGCCCCTCCTGGGCAGGCTACGCCCCCACAAGTGTGGTCAGTCTGGGCTAGGTCCCACCTGGGAACCACACTTGTCAGATGCTCCAAGTCCACGGATGACCCCCGCCTCCATGAGGCTGCAGGAAGGGGTCGTGGTGCCAGTCATCACCGGAGCCCCTTGCTTCCCAACTTCCCTTCCACTCCAGATCTCTTAGTCACCCCTCCTCAGGCCAGCCTTCCAGTCTCCTGGGCAGATGAGGCCCTTAAAGTGGGGGGGGGGGAGACAGAACAGGTGGCCAGCCCTAAAGCTGGACTCTCTCCCTTAGAGCTCCCAGACGAGGTGTATCTGGTTCTCTGAGCAAGGTCCCAATTGCTTCTTACCCAGCTCTTTTACCAGCATTCCACTGGCGGGTGGCCCAGTGGTCTGTAGGGGTTGTGGTTCCCCTGGGTTCCGAGCCCCTCCCCACACTGGGTCCCCCCGGGGCCTTTCTTCCTGGCTTGTCTGGGAGGTCGGCTCCAGCTAGGTCTAAGCACCTGTGGGACCACAGCTTTCTCTACCTTCAAATTCTGTCAGCATTTCCCCATTCTCTAAGTCCCAACTCTGAAAGGGATGTGACATAATCCTGTTGATCTCTGGGATGTCAACTCTGGACCCTCTGTAGGGCCATCTCCGCAGACAGAGAGTGAGCTGTTGCACACTGCCCCCAGATCATGTGACTTGCTGGCTAATGCCCTTCAGAGGTTGCTAATTGCTTTTGGGATAGAATCCAAACTCCTGCCAGGAAATTAGAGGTCCCATGAGATCTTAGACCTCCTGCCTCCTTGGTCTCCTTGATCCCAATCCACTTCAGTGCCCTAACCACCTGAGCTCTTCCTTCCTCAAAGGTGCCCAGATCCTTCTAGCCTGAGGGCTGCTGGCTCTGTTCCTCTCTCCCCCGAACGCTTACTGGGCCAGGAAGAGGAGGTGAGCTTTGCAGTGGGGATGAGCCACTCCCAGAACAGGTAGTTGAAGAATCTGTCTGGAGAGGAATCATCCCGGATGTGCCCAGACCAGTGAAGACCTGCTCCAGCCAAAGGGGGTTTCCACATCAACCACGTGTACTCGCACTTGACTAACCTGGAGAAAAGGGGAACCAGAAGCTTGATCTCTAATCTCTTAGTTAGAAAAAGAACTGGGACAGAGCATGGCATTGAAAACCGTGAAAGAAATTTTGAAAAACCTTTTTTTATTTAAGAAGCTAATACTATATGCTGTCATTGTAGAATATTTGGAAAATATACAAATGTGGAAGGAAGAAAAATTTACCCCAAGATGAACAGAAAAAAATCATGTTTTTATCTGTGTAATATTTCTTTTGCTTAATAAACATATTTGTGTATACACATACCATTTTATTTCTTATGCTTTCACTTATCATTATCTTGTAAACATTTTCTCCTTCATTCTTGGTGAATATCACCTTGATAACCATATTTGAACTGTGTTCCTAACATTTGATTATTACAAATAATGCTGTGATCAACATCTTGAGCAGAAACCTTATTTTAATGTAACAGATTATGTTCTTAGTTTCTATCTCCCAAGATCTAGTTGCTGGATCAAATAATATTTGCTTCATATCATCTAACTGCATGCTTTTCAAAAAGGTTGTAACCATTTATCTACCCAGATCAATGCTTGAGAATGCCTGTCGTACCATCGGCTCTTTGCATTCACATTTTAAATTCTCTGCTAACTTGATAAGCCAAAGATGTCCAATTTGAATTTCATAATTACTAGTTAGTTTAAATACTCTTCCTTACCTATTTAAACTTTTCATCTTTTTGGCTTTGGAGCGCGATAGTCTCTTTGTGCCTTTTGCCTAATTTTCTATTCATGTCCTAGAGTTTCCCTTATCGACTTATTTCACAAATATATAGATCCTTGCTCTGCAGAGTCAGTGGAATTGTTAAAGTCAGTCATAAAGCCAAAGAATATTTAAAGCCACTAGTTGGATTCCTTAGATAAATGTGTGTAAAGAATAAAACTCTCCAGCTGTCTGAGGAAGTTCTACGTGTGGCTGACATACATGGTGGGGCGGGGGGAGCCAGGATTCCAGGAAACAGCCATCATCAGAGATGACCCCAAAGCTCACACCGAAACCCTAGTACTGCAAAGCCCTCTCACCGAAGCAACGGAAAAAGGAATTGCAGTGGAATGCACCTGCAGGGCAACAAAAGAGAGAATTCCTTTCCTAGAGAACAGTGAAAACACACCAGGAAGTTAGGTTCCTCAAGTAAACAGAACAGCAGGTGACTCGATGCAGAGACTTTGCTTGGGACATGGAAGGACGCATGGCTGTGGTGTCTTAGCCTGACTCGGGGAAACTACTGGGGAGAAGCTTCAAACAACCAAAGACTGAGACACATTTCAGAAGTTTCAGTGTTGAGTACTAAATGTAAATTTAAATGCAGAACTAAGGCTAAATGAGAATTTGAAGGAAAAGACTACTTTCC